AAGTATGTATACGAACATTTCTGGCGGCAACCAATTGCCTTCTGATGAATTTTGTTTTGATGACTAATCTTAAGATCATGTTTTTGTTTTTGCTTTTTTTATTTCTTTTTATTCTATTTCTATTTCTGAAAAAATCAACAAAAAAAACCCCCCTTCTTTACAAAGTTCGGTCCTTATTCTTCGAATCTGAAATCGTGCACAAAAATGGTTCTCACGATTTTGGCGCCAAACATCTAAGTTTCCAATTCCGGTATCAGTAAATAGCTTTATTCTAAGGTTTACGATACAAGCAGTCTTCAGTCCTCTTTGTCCTTCTGTTCCTTATAGTCTTAGTGAAAGTCGGAACTCTAAAGCTGGACGTGGACTGCTTTTATAATCCGCGGGGACCTATCTCTAACTATTCCCGAACGAACTTGCACTATCAATATATTAAGATATTCGTCGAACTGATTTCAGTAAGTTATAGCTTTGCACCGAACCCTTTGTCACTATCGATGTAAAGAACATTTTGCACCGTGATTTCTAAGGTTGCGTTCGGATCTAGCTCATCCGCTCCATTTGTCTCCTCAACTTCCTTATCACTACCTCACTCGCTATCCTCGTCATCGTTTATATCGAAAGCACTTAATTGACCCTCGCCATACTTGTCCACTAAGCTGAGGGACAGAGCAAGCGCTGGTGTCATTGCTCCAGTCATATTAACTAACTACACACACTGAAATAAAGTGTGTGAACGTGTATGCATACCTATTATTGCTATTATCATTATCACTTAGTATAAATATATGCGTGTCGCATTTTTGTATGTAATTTTCTAATTTTTTTAAATAACATGATTACTGAAAATATGCTATGCCAGTCGGTACAATAACAATGTGAATTTTTGATGATGTCAGAACGAAGCTAAGATTTGATCATTCACTAACAAGCTTGAATGTACTCTTAATAGTAGACATCCACTCAAAATTAAGCTTGGTGACAGTCTATTTTAGTATGGGCCACTGTATGGTAAGCTTGGTATATCCTGGCATATCCAAGATATCTGAGCGTGTGTAATTGCATATGTATGATACAGGAACTAGTAGAATACAGGATTACAGGTAGAAATAGATGGGGACATATTTAGTATGTAGTGTGCAAGACTCGGGAAGTAATCAGACCTACGCACGAGTGCACCCCATGTGGGTATTGACCTAGATAGAAAGGATAAGTGTATAGGCTCTCGGCGTCCCGGTTGCCTGTACCCTTTGTTTAGTAGTAAAGTAATAGTAATGGGTGAAGAGAAGTAGTCGGTGACAAACTATATAAACAAGGCACAGACATTGAAGTAGTTAACAAGCTACTATTTGAGTTTTATGAACTGTAGAATAAAGATTGTATTTACCTGAGCATTCTATCAACAAACTACTCCATATATAA